CTAGTCTGCTTTTAATAGTTTCAAGGGAGATTTTGACTTCTTGTATTATAGACTTCGTCTCTAACAGTTCCATTTGATTCTTTGGTAAAGTGTGTAATTCCTCTTTTAGATCTTGCAATAATTTCCTCACCTCCTGGAACTCGTCAACTTCTTTCTTCTTTCTCTTTAGCAGATCATTTCTCTTCTCTTCCATCTCTGTTAGCTTCACCATTACAAATGCTCTAAATTCTTTATCAGACATTTCCATTATTTTCATTGAACTGCTTGTGGATGAAGAGGAGTTATTCTTTTCCCTTGGAGGAGAGGTATTTTCTTGCTTTCCCATATTTCTTGTGGTCCTGCGGTGATTTCTTGTCATCTGATGTTCAATCTGAATATTCAGGAGCAAGCAGAAAGAGGTGCTCTGGAATCTCTTTGCTGTTCTGTTGTGATCGCTGGTGCAGCAGATTCAGTAGATATTGAGGAATATGTTAACCCTAATAGTATTTGGGAGTTTAGCTACAGTGCCCTTAGGTCCATCACGCTAGCTTGTTTGCTGGAGGCTGAATTATCAGTAGAAAATCTTCATTTCTCTTTTACCCTGAACTGACTAGTTCACAGGAGCCATGAGGAATCTGGCTTTCTAGGTTTATGATCTTGATAAGAATTTTTGCTTTCATCCCCACCTCTACCCACCCAGTACTATTGTCTGGATACCAACTTTGGTTCTTAAAAACATTTTATTACAGTTGGTCAATTGCCTTGGGGCATAATGACTATTCGGTTGAGCAAGAAAGGAATAATGAGTTCTCTCTGATGTCCACTTCAGCCCTTCCACAGGGTAGAGTCTTCGACTTCGGCTCAGAGAGTTTTGGGCATGCCTTTAGTGTGCAGTGTGGGGTGAATCTCTAGAATGCTCCTCATAAATTCCGTGTATTCATCATGCCCCCTCTCCATAACCTCACAAGTATTTACAACTGCTCATTATCTTTGGAATATGTTATTAATAGAATTGAGAGTGTGAAGTTTCACGTAAAACCTCAAACTATAAAACTACCGGTGGAAAACATAGGGATACTCTTGGAGACATTGGAATAGGCAAAGATTTTTAAAATAAGACTCCAAAAGAACATGCAATAACCCCAAAAATAGGCAAGTGGGACTACTTCAGGCTAAAAAGCTTCTGCATAGCAAAAGAAATAATCATCAGAGTGAAGAGAAAACCCTCAGAATGGGAGAATATATTTTAAGATTATGGCTGATAACCAGAATATACAGGGAACTCAAGCAACTTACCCACAAAAAAATAAAGAATCCAAATTAATTGCTAAGACCTGGAACCAACCCAAATGTACATGAACAGATGAATGAGTTTTTAAAGTGTGGCACATATACACTATGGAATCCTACTCAGTAAAAACAATGAGACCCTGGCGTTTGATAGAAAGTGGATAAACATAGGATAAAAGACTGAATAAAGCAAACCAGACTATGAAAGAGAGACATTGTATGTCCCCATTTAATATATACTGAATGTCTATATCCCATGGTAGAAACTGAAACATCGGAAGATATAGAAACACAGAGACAGAAAGCGAGAAATCACTGCCCAGGGGGGATGGTCACGCTGCAATCCCTTCTCTTCCATTCTCCTCTCGGGATCTTGGGCACGCACGCACACGCGCCCGGCGTGAGTTTTAAGCCACCGGGTCCGGGACATGAACCGCAGTCGACTACGTGGGAGTCCAGCGACATAGCCATTACGCTAACTGCTGGTTCCCGAGAATGGTCTCTTGATGATAATGTGCATGATAATATCTTTAACTCGAATGGTATGTAGTGTATTTATGCTGGGAAAATTCATCTTACAAGCTGTGGTGATGTTCAGTTATTGACTACATAAAATAAATTTTGAAAGAATTAAAAAACTGTTAATTAGGAATATGACAAAGAAGCCCAATACTAGTTTATGATACAATGTTAAACAAACAATGCAGATGAAAACAGAATTATATGTATATTATAAGTAAAACTGTAAAAATTTCTGCATGTGGACAAGGTCTAAAGTCATATGAAAACAGCTTTATTTTGGTTTTTTGTTTTTTTTTTTTGAGAGAGGATTTTTTTTTTCTTTGCTACGAGATGCATGCTCTTGCCCGAAGAGACAGAAAGTGAGAAATCACTCCCCAGGGGGGATGGCTATGCCACAATCTCTTCTCAATTCTCCTCTCAGGATCTTGGGCACACACACATGCACCTGCCGTGAGTTTAAACCACCAGGTCCAGGACTTGAACCACTAAGTGCGAGTCCAATTACATAGCCATTACACCAACTGCTGGTCCCTATTTTGGGTCTTTGCTATTGTCATTATAATGTTGCTCATTATGTGTTCCCCTCTGAGGAAGATCTACTAACAGCTTAAAAGCATATGAAAAAATGCTCAACATCTTTTACCAAAAAGAAAATGCAAATCCAAACCACAACAAGATACCACTTAACCCCAATCAAAATGGCTAAGATGGGAACCAGCAGTTAGCGTAATGGCTATGTCGCTGGACTCCCACATAGTCGACCGCGGTTCATGTCCTGGACCCGGTGGCTTAAAACTCACGCCGGGCGCGTGTGCGTGCATGCCCAAGATCCCGAGAGGAGAATGGAGGAGAAGGGATTGCGGCGTGACCATCCCCCCTGGGGGGTGATTTCTCACTTTCTGTCTCTATGTCTCTCTCTGTCTGTCTGGCAAGTGCACGCGCCCTACAATGAAAATCTCTCAAAAAAAAAATGGCTAAGATGAAAAAAATAAAGAACAAGTGCTAGTGAGACTACGGTGAAAGGGGAACATGGAATCAACCTAAATGCCTGAAAACAGATAACTGAATTGAAAATATGTGGCATATATCCACTGTGAAGTACTACTCAGCCATAAAAAAATAAGACACTGACATTTGATACAAAGTGGATGAATATGGAAGATTTAATGCTAAGCAAATTAAGCCAGACTATAAAGGAGAGACATTGTATGTCCCTGCTCAATATATACCAATTATCTGCACTCTAGGGCAGAAACTGAAAGATGAGAAGGTACAAAATCAGGGAGGCCAACTGTAGATACCAGAGACAGTAGAGAAGGAGTTACGTAACAGGAGGTGGGAGGAAAGAGATAGGGGAAAAAACATTTAACAGACACATGAATGGAAAGTTATCTATTGATAAAGATGTACATGGGAGGACCAGAAGATGGTGTAATGGTTACATCACTAGACTCCTGCATGGTCAACTGCAGTTCAAGTCCCAGACCCTGAGGCTTGAAATTCACACTGGGTCCATGTTTGTGTGTGTCCACAATCCCAAGAGGAGAATGGAGGAGGAGAAGGGATTGCAATGTGATCACCCTAAAAGATGCTTTCTTGCTTTTTGTCTGTCTTTCTCTCTGTCTCTCTGGAGAGCACATGTGCCCTGTAGCAAAAGTCTCTCTAAAAAAAATTAAAAAGAGGAAGATGTGCATGATAATATCTTTGACTTGATTGAGGTACACAGCATCAGTGCTGGATAAAAAAATTTTGTATTGTTAAGATGCACAATGATTAATTATAAATTTAAGAAGTATAAAAATAAAAAAAATTAAAATTTTTTAAATTAAAAATTTAAGAAGTGTACAGGGACCAGCAGATGGCATAATGGCTACGTCACTGGACTCCCACATAGTCGACCGCAGTTCAAATCCCTGACATGGTGGTTTAAACTCACACTGGGCGTGTGTGCATGTGTGCCCAAGATCCCAAGAGAGAATGGAGGAGAAGGGGCTGAGGCATGTCCATAGCCCCTGGGGGGTGATTTCCCACTTTCTGTCTCTCTGTCTTTCTGGCACATGCAAGCATCCTATAGCAAAAACCTCTCCAAAAAAATAAAAGAGTGTAGAAAGAGTATTCACACAAACACACAAAGAGGAACAAAGTCAAAGATACATTGCTACATCCCCTAATAAATTATAAGAGCTCAAATATTTGTCACAAATAGTAGCCTATTAGGTGAGAAAGACGAAAAATGGATTTTGCATTCCTACAGATGTCATTTTTATATATCCTACATAGTAAGAGTTATGCATTAGAGACTACAGTGTGATGGAAAGTAAATTAATTCACAAAAGTGAAAGAGTATCCACTGGACTCTCAAATTGGATGCATCTTGCTCAAATATGTTAGTGATCTGGCGTGTAGGCTCAGGAAGAAAAAGTAACTCTTAAAAAAGACACTCAACCAGCAAATCTCAGAAACCAGGTAAGTTCTGCCTTTGGGATGAGTGTTCTTAATTGTGTTTTACACATGCACACTGATTGAGTACACAACTGGCACTAGAAGAATATTTTTCGTATGAATGAACGCATATCCCAAGAGTAAGAGTTGACCTGTGGCTCTGAAGACACCAGGATATGAAAGTATTAAGCACACTTCAGGGCACTGGTTCTCAAACATCAGACTTTCTGGGAGGGCTTATTACAAGACAGGTGGCTGGCAGTTCTCACCTCAGGGTTTCAGCAGGTCTGGGGTGGGGCCCTTGGGTTTGCATTACTAATAAGTACTTGGGCAAGAATGATGGTGCTGGCCCGAGGATCACACTTGCTATACAATATTGTGAGATGGGGCCAGCAGATGGTGTAGCAGTTATGTCTCTGGACTTCCACGTCGCCGACCACAGTGTGAGCCCCAAACTCAGGTGCCGTGCATGTGTGTGCATGCCCAAGATCCCAGGAGAATGGAGGAGAAGGGATTATGGCATGGCCACATCACTTTCCCTCTCACTGTCTCTGTCTCTCTCTCTATCTCTCTTTGACAAGCACACACGCCCTATGGCAGAAACCTCTAGAGAGAGAGAGAGAGAGAATATTGTAAGATGGATGTTCCTAACTTAACTAAGCACCCTGAGGTTTAACGAAGGGAAGAAAATGCTTTGAAGTAACTGTGAGATCAGCCAGAGTAGGAGGAGCAGAAATGGGAGAGTATAAAGTCAGAGGCGACGTTGGCTACGGTGCATGCCATCTGCCAGCAATTGGAGGGGATGAAAAATCTCGTGTTCTGGGTGTCGCTGGCTGTCTGTACGTGTGGGCTGAACGCAGGTGAGACAGCCAGGTGGGTGAGGGGTGGGAGGAGAGCAAGAAGTGGGTGAAACAAGCAGGAAGTAGATTCAGTTGATTGTCCATGACAGCTGTTAAAGACAGCATAGTGATTAGTGCAAAATAGAGGATTTGCAGATACCCAGACTCAATTTCTGGTTCTTCCTCTTGTTGGTTCGAGACTATGGGCAAGTTACTTGGCCCCTCTTTGACCTTGAGCCTCTGTGTATAAATAATAATAACAATAATCTTGAAGATAGAGGGAACTTAGTCTGTATTGATTTAGAAAGTTTTCCAAGGAAACAAGGTACAAAATAAACAGTAATGTAGGCAAAGCTAGGCTATGATTTAAAAAGAGAAAAATGCTATTAACCCACACTCACTTGTATGTTCACAGACAATCCCTGTGGGTTTTATAAGAATTACATTAGTAACATATGGGGTGGGTGACAGGGATCAGAGATGACTGGAAGAACTTTGAGGTTTTCCTTTTTGGGAATCAGGGGAGAAAGAAAGAAGCAAAACATTTAAGGGACACAAAAATGGAAAATTATCTGTTGATGATAACGAGTATGGTAATATCTTTAGCTAGACTAACGTACAGTGTACTCATGCTAGCAAAATTCATTTTACAAGCTGTAATGATATACAGTGATTGAATGGATAAATAAAAAAGACAAAAATCTGAACCATCTGAATGAGCATCCCAGAAAACAAATACCTTCTATAGAAAGCAAGTGGTCTTTATCTCTCACAGCTCCTGGATTAAAGTAGAAAAAGCAGGCCACCCCTAGAACTGCCAACACCTTGAGACTGCGTTCCCTGGGAACACACTGTAGGTGAACAAACTGTCACTCATGGCAGCCAGGGAGGACATACAGTGTGGGCTATCTAGGTCAGAAGGTCTTAGAAAGAACATACACTAGCATTTGGGATTTGGGTAGGAGGGGGGGGGGGGTGGGGGACTTTAGGGAGGGGGGGGGTTGGGGGACTTAAGGAAGGAGAGATTTGCCAGGATTGAATGCTGTCAGAAAGCAGAAGCGAGTCTATGACTGGGTATCTCAATAATTCTTTTCTTTTTTTTAAAGGCACGGTCTGGCCATGTTGCCTCAGCCTCTTGCCTCTGCCTCCCAGTTGAGACTACCGGTGTGCACCACCAGGCCCAGCTCTCTCTCTCTTTTTTAAAAAGTGTATTCCATGAGTGAGAGAGAGAGATACAATACTCTTGACAGAGCTTTGATGCCAGGATCCACCCCAAGCTTCAGCCAGCCCAGATCACAGAAACATCTCTGAGAGGTCTGTAGACATGAACCAGCAGGCTTCCCCGATGAGTCTGCCTCCCAGAGTGCTGCGTATTATCACTGCACCACTGCCTGGACCCGAAGCTGTGTTTGTAGACAGGGTGTTGCTGTCCAGGTCAGTCTGCATTGGCCTTGCTGAGTCACTGGGATTGCAGAGACACCTCACCATTTCCGGCCTTTAGATTGGACTGGGAATCAATCCTAGTCCTAGCCTGAAGGGCACAGCATCTTAGTAGCAGGTGCCATCATGACCAGGCCTCAATAAATCTTAAGAAGAATGTTTAATCAGTAAAGCAGCAGCAATCATTTATTTTAACCACTCATTTAGAAGAATATTGAGTAATTTGTGGGTGACAAATGTCTGAAGTAGTCTGTTTTATCTCATTATATCAAGATCTCAGAATAACTCCATTTAAGGTTATTATTCTATGAGCTTATTCATAACCAGTAGGAGAATGGCGTGGCTAAGCCCTCAGTCACTGTTGGTGGTGGTGGTGGTGGTGATGGTGTCAGAGCTGTTATGTCTCATCATCATTGATCATTTGGAGGAGGAAGAGAAACAAATGGTAAAAATGGTAAAAGTAATGTTTTGCCAGAGATTTATGTGATGAAGACATATGAAATTCAATGTCAGAGGAACTGTAAGGATGGTTGTGTTCTGCAGTGATGATGAAATGGTATTTATAGATGACCACTTCTTGAGGCACCAAGGCCTGAAAGTAACAGTTCAGCCCAGGCCGCCACAGGAATACAGTGGTAGGCAACACTCTGTGAAGCTGGACCCACACGTAAAGGCCCTGGGTTCAAGTCTCAGAGTCTCCTGTATACGCTGGGTGTGTGAGTGCCCATGATTCTGGCTTGTTGAAGTTGGGATGGATAGAAGTATGAAGATGCTGTTGGGGATGTCTCTCTTAGAAGAGATAAATAAACAATTTTTTTTAAAAAGAAAGAAAGCGCGAAAGACATGGCTCTATCGCTGGAATCCGACAGAGATCCAATGAATCCAGATTGAACTCGCTTTTGGTGCCCCCATTTCTGGTGCTGTGTGAACAAAATACTCATGAAAGTCTCTCTTTGCTCTTTCATCTGTGAAATCAAGACAAGGCTATAAAGATGAAAGATAAGAAAGATGAAAGATTAGAAAGGTTAACCATGGTGTTGGCAAAGCCAAGAGCTCCATGACTGGAGAAGCAGAAAGGTCACCGTGGCCGCTCTTACTCCGGCATTTATTACAACCTAAAATGACTGTCACTCCCAGTCGCGCTTAGCAGCAGCGCCCTCATGAGGCAGGATTGTTGTAGAGATTTCATTTCTGGAGCAGGATTACCTGAATACTTTCTTAGAGCTGTGGCTTCAAACAGGGGTTTCCCTCTCTAAGCCTCCATTTCTGTATCTGCACAATGGCAGCCATGATAACATATATGAACAACATACAGCCACGATAACATATATGAACAGCATCCATAATTATGATACATGTATAGGTTATATATAATAATATGAGCCACCTGTGAATTAGTATCTGTATAGCAAGGGTAAATAAAGTCAAACACAGGGGCCAGCAGATGGCGTAATGTTTATGTCGATGGACTCCCATGTAGTGGACCACAGTTTGAGTCCCAGACCCAGCAGTTTAAAACACACTGGGTGTGTGTATATGCATGCCCAAAATCCCAAGAGGAGAATGAAGGAGACAGAACTGTAGTGTGACCATTCCCCATAGGAGGTGATTTCTCTCTTTCTGTCTCTCTATCTCTCTCTGTCTCTCTGGCTCCCTATAGTAAAAATCTCTCTTAAAAAAAAAAAGAAAAGAAAAGAAAAAGAAAGTTAAATACGAGGGGTTAATTTCCTTCTGGAGGTAAATAGCACTTCCAGGTAAAGCAGAGACACAGCAAAAGCAAAGTCTCTGTGCCACTCACCAATTACCCCACACACTCCTCTTGGCTAAAATGAACGGTTGCTGCTTTAAAGTCTCTGTTTCACTGAACCCCTGCAATATGACCTGAAGAAGCATGACCTGCTGGTTTGAAACAGTTTGTGGAGTTGGGTTTCCTGGATTTAAAGAAATTTCCAACAGTCTGGGACAAGCAGATGGCATAATGGTTATGTCGCTGGACTCCCATGTAGTCGAGTCCTGGACCCAGAGACTTAAAACACGCTGGGCGTGTGTGCCGGTGTTCCCAAAATCCAGAGAGGAGAATGGAGGACAAGGGACTGCAGCATGGCCATCCCCCCAGGCGGGGGGGGGGTGATTTCTTGCTTTCTGTTTCTCTGTCTCTGTCTGTCTCTGTCTCTCTGGTAAGCACACACACCCTATAGCAAAAAGCTCTCTTTTTTTAAAAAAAAAAAAAAAAACTAATACCGGGCCGCTCCTCCTCACCCCCGCCTGGGCCCTGATGGGGCTGGGTAGGCAAGTTGGCCACTATGGCTCAAGCCCAGGCAGCGGTGGCCAGAGGAGGTGGCGCCTTCTCCTTCTCAGCCGGTGCCAGTGATCACAGACAGTGGCTCGGCCCAGATGAGACTGCTGGCCAGCTGGCTGGGCCTGGGCCTGGCACCCGTGTGGCTGGCGCAGAGGATGTGGACTCTGCAGAGCTGCTCTCCTGCTCCCTGTATGTGAACAGGACCAGCGGCCCCAGTGGGGAGAAGGAGAACGACCAGTGTGGTACGTGTGTAACAGAGAGAAATTACGTGAATCACTCCACGCTGTCTTTGCTCAAATCATCTTGATCAAGGAACAAAGATCTTAACAGCATCGAGAAAGCTGGCTGGCTATTTATCCAATTATATCTTCTTTTGTATCATCTGTTTTTAGCCTGTTTATGTCTAGAATGTCTATCAATGGGTTGCTAGAAAGAGACTCAATGTTTGTGTTTTCACCAAATCAGTTTCAGAGACTGCTTAAAATTAACCCAGTCTGGAAAACCCACAGACTTCTTTATTTAGGTGCTGGAGGTGACGTTGCAGAAATCCTGAGCCCTCATTTTGAAGAAATCTATGCCACTGAGCTTTCTGAAACTGTGGATATGGCAGCTTCAGAAGAAGAAATACATGGGGCCAGCAAATGGCGTAATTGCTACGTTGCTGGACTTCCATGTAGTCGACCGTGGTTCAAGTCCCGGACTCAGTGGCTTAAACTAAAGCAGTGTGTGTGTGAGCATGCCCAAGATCCTGAGATGAGAATGGAGAAGGGATTGCAGCGTGGCCATCTCCCTGGGGGGTGATTTCTCGCTTTCTGTCTCTCTGTCTCTCTCTCTGTCTTTCTGTCAAGCACACGTGCCCTCTAGCCAAAACCTCTCCAAAAAAAGAGAAGAAATACAGAGTGCTTGGTGTAAGTGAATGGCACAACGCAGGGTTCCAATATGATGTGTGATCAGCTGCTTGAATTTGCTGGATTGCTGAGATCAGCCTCTGACTTTGTTAAAAAGATAGTACAAGTATCTTGGAGCCAACTAGAGGCCAGGTCCTTCCCTTTCATCCCTATGTGGAAGATGGTGGCAAGTGAGAGAAACCATCAGAAATTTTGGAAATCCAGGGTCAGAATTGGGATAGTGAATAGTCTGCCTGAAGTTTTCAGAAAAGCGGGTTTTGTTATCGAAGTTTTCACCAGACTGCCGTGCCTGGGTGCGGACGCCATGTACAATGATGCCTACGTCCTGGATGACGCTGTTTTTGTTCTCAAACCAGTATAAACACGTGGAGGCCAAAGTCTTCAGAGTCCGCCCCAAGAATGCACCCTCTGGAACAGGGTCAGCATTCACAGTCACGCGGAGGGAGGGCCTTTGGGGACTGCCGTTCCAAGTCTCATGCAGGAAGCTAGAAAGCTAAAATATGAATGATTTCTTTGCAGTGTGTAAAAGGAATGTTTTTTAAAAACAGAGCCCCAACTGTTTGTGGAATTTTATCAACTCTTTACTCAGAGTCACAGTCTAATGCAGATCACTCCAACTCTGATGGAAGATTTTTTTTATACTCAGTTGCGGTAGGGACTCATTCTCCAGACAAAGCAATAGCCACGACTTCATGAACCAGTAAATGGATTGTTGTTAATAAAATGAAGACTGGCAACAAAGCTGTCCATTCAATTCCAAATATCGGTTATAAGGCATAGCCACTGATATTCTTTCATGTTTAGAAATTCTTTCTGTGATTACTCAAGGAAATGTTTTTAATCATGCTAATAAACTTTTTGGAGAAGAAAAATAAAAAACTAATACTAATAAATAGTAAAGTCATTGCCAACAGTAAATAGTCACATGACTTTCAGCAAGAGCTGCTTTGTGCTCATTTTTTCCCCCTAATTTGCTAGAGGGCATGTGTGCTCTACAGAGAGAAAGGGAGGAGCAAAGTGGGAAAGCACCCCAAGGGGCATGATCACACTGCACTCCTTTATCCTCCATCTCCATCTCCCTCTCCCGTCAGGATTTTGGGCATGCTCACACACTCAGAATGTTTCCCAACCTGCCAGGGCCAGGACTTGAACTGCTCTGTTGGCTATGTGGGATCTAGCCGCCTTAACCACCACACCACTGGCTGGCCCATTGTGCACTTTCTCCTATTTATAGAACTTGGGGGGGGGGATGACGGAGGAAGGAGAAGGGAGTTATAAACCGTACTTTTCTTCCCTAAGGCTGTTGTGATCATTAAATGAAGCAACTACTGGAACCTAGCAGTTGCCAATGAAACATTAGTTAATGTCGTTAGGTAGCTATTCTGTGTATGATGTTGGTACAACAGAGAAATTTCCTATAATAGGCTCAGGAATGATTAAAAAGGCAACATTTTCTAGGAAAAAAGACATTAAATCTACCGAAGATATCCAGCCTTGGGCTCTAAACAAACAAGTTGTTTCTCTGAAACGTTGCCATATGGGCAAAGGCTAGAATATCCTCTCTAACCTTTGGAATTTTGGAATTTTACCAAATTGATGAAAGGTGCATGGTGTTAGATAGAGTGGATTTACTTTACCTTACTAAAAGAAAAATTTTGCAGGGGTACCAGGTGGCATGATGGTTAAGGCACTGGACTCCTAAATGGCCAACTGTGGATGGAGTCTCGGACCCAGAAGCTTAAAATACACCAGGCACGTGTGCATGCATGCATGCCTAAAATCCTGAGAAGAGAATGGAGGAGAAGGGATTCCAGTGTGGCCATCCCCCCTGGAGGATGATTTCTCACTTTCTCTCTGTTGTTCCAGTGAGCACACACACACCCTAAAGTAAAAGTCTCTCAAGGCAAAATCTTGGAATAGTCATAGCTCATATCCGAATTAATGGATGTTCTTGGGTGGGTGCACAATCTCCCAATAGAAAGCATTCATAACTCATCCAAGTTGTGATAGGATGCCTGCTTCTACAATAGGAGAACTGGCTACATGAGCTTCGAGGTCCTTTTAACACCCATTATTCTGGGAATGGAGTATTTTAGGAGGTGATCTAAGGTTAATCCATTGTTTTTTCTCTTTCAGACTTGGTTGCCCATTTACACCCTCCGTATCAAGGTAGGAACACCGTCACTTTACTCATTAGTATCTCAAGTGTTAGCCCCACTCCGTAAGCAATATTGCATTCCTGAAAGTCCTGCCATTTAGCCTTTCCTTTGCTCTTATCCCAGGCTCCCTGGTTGCATCAGCCAAATTGATTATTTCAAGATCTGGCACTCTTCTTCATTATAATTAACATCAGCATTTGTATGGAGTTTATTCTTTTTTAAAATTTAGTTTTAACTGATAAATAATAACTGTATATATGCATGGGAAAGAATGTGATGTTTTAATATAAGCTTACATGGTGGAATAATTACATCTAATTAACATGTCTATCATCTTATGCACTTACGTGTTTGTTAGGAAAGTATGAGACTACTTTCTTAGCAATTTTGAAACATACATTTCTTTTTTAAAAAAATTATTCATTTATTTAACTTCATTTATTATTAATAATATCTTTAATTATTAATATCTTTAATTCCGTTATTATTATTTTAATTTGACCAGACAGAGACAGAGGGAGAGAGAAAGGGAAAGGGAGAAAGCAAGCCACCAGGTCCGGGACTCAAACCGCAGTCAGCCATGTGGGAATCCAGCACCTTTAACTCCACCTGCCAGACCGGAAACATACAATACATTTCTATTAACTATCGTTAGCACAGTAGGTCTCTAAAACATACCACTGCTGTCTAACTGAAACTTTGTATGACCCTTTGAATGACATCTCCCCGTTCTCCCTTACTCCTCTCCCCCAACCTCTGGTAGCCACCATTCTGCTCTCTACTCCAATGAGTTCAACTTCTAAAAAAGCACTTTGTGTTTTTTATTGTTTCTTTGGTGCTTTGGTTAACTTTAATAACCTTATCAAGGTATAATTTATACACCATAACATTGACCCATTGTAAGTGTGCCGTTTAATGAGTTTCAGTAAGATTATGGAGTTGTGCAAACATCACCATCCCATTCTAGAACGTTTCATCACACACCCCCGATACCCTTCATACTCATCTCCAGTTCCCCTCCCATCCTATCCCCAGCCCTAAGCAACCATTGATCTACTTTTTGTCTCTATAGACGAGTCTTTTCTGATGTTTCCTATCAATGGAACCATACATGAGATCTTTTGCTTCTGTTTTTAAATTAATTATAGATAAATTCGTCTCTGAGTCTCAATTATTGGAAAAATTGAACTCCATCTTCATAGAGACAACAGGTTCTCAGTTTTAATCTATACCCCTCATGGAGTTGAGAGTTTCAAAGGAGAAAAAGAGATGTGAGAATATTTGATGGGGATGGTCAAGCCAGTGAAAGTAATAGAAGTAATAAAAATGAACGCAATAGGGAGTTCAAATAGACTTATTTAGAGATTTTTAAAAGCTTCGTGGAAATGCACGTGTATGCAGAATAGCAGAGGTGGGTAAACAAGCCAAGGGGCTGGGGAGTTCCGGCCAAGCAGAGAAGATTGTGTCTGTAAATCCTGAGGCTAGAAAATGGTGGCACAGCAGGAACACTTTGCAAGACTGAGCAGAAAGAGCACAAAGAACAGGAGTCCAAAGAGAGACTGAAGTGGTATTTAAGGACCAGATCAAGGAGAACACGATGAGCCATTTCAGTGCTGTTTCTTCTCCTAAGAGCAAAGGGGTATCAGTGAGTTACTAACAACACTAACCAGAGCCTGGTAAGTATTTAAGTAGGATCACTCTCCCTGCAGTATGAAAAGTGGGCAGGACACACAGATTGGGAACATGCTGGTGTCAACTGTGTCTTAGGTCCTGGGCATCTAAGATAACAGAAATAAGTTATTGCTGGCCAGTGACAGAGCATGTGAAGGGAGGGGAGAGCTTTGAGAACTACATAGGAGCTGACTTGGACGGGCCAAGAGATTTATTTTTCTAGAAGAGAGAGAAATAAAGAAACACTAAGACACTAAGAGTTTTGGCTTAGGTAAATCAGGTTTTTCATTGCTTATTTAAGAGAGAAGCTAAAAATTCTCAACCTGATTCCAGCTCTGGGTTGATTTTCTGCAACATCCGGGAAAGGCAGAGACACCAGTTGCATGTGGATTGGGCGTGATGGGTAAACAAACATGGTGTGGGTAATTGAGACGGACAATGGAGAGTCAATTCTCTATGTACGTGACCTATATTTGGCATGTGTTCTCTTTTCCAGAAATTCCTGACACTCCCTGTGTTTTTCCATTTATTTACGGTGATGTTACCCACTATAATTGCATCTCCGTCCACAGCGACTTTCTTTGGTGTTCTCTGGACAGTCATTTCCAAGGCAGGTGGCGGTACTGCAAGGCTTTGGGTAAGTATCTTGTAAGGGTTGTCTTGGATGCCCAGGATCCCAGAAGCAGAGAGCTAACTGGGTTTTGGTGTCAGACCTGCATTCTAATTCTGACTTTTCTACATAAGGTTAACCACTTTGAAAACAGTTCGGTGTGCTGGAAAAAGCATGATGTGCGGTGAATTCAGCAATTATTCATCTTAAAACTTTCTATGTTTATAGCTCGCCCTCCACCCCCATTTTCTCTGCAGATCCTCCCGAGTGTTCCTTCCCCTTCTTATTCAGAAAGAAGTTCATTTACAAATGTACGAAGGACGGCTATATTCTGGATCGGAGTTGGTGTTCATTGACAAAAAATTACAACAAAGATGGAAAGTGGAAGCAATGTTCTCCTCAGAAGTAAGATGCTTGGGACATAATGGGGTGGAAAGTTCACAGCTCTCTGGAAGCAGGGAACCCTCTGGATTACTGCAGGTGGTAGCTTGAGGTCTAAATCATCTGGTGATGACTTAGATCAGGGAAGATGGCAAACATTTTCTGTAAATGGCCCCCTAGTAAATATTTTAGGCTTAATGGGCCGGTGGACTCCATTGCAAGTACTCAGCTCTGCCTTTGTGATGCGCAAGTGACCATGGACAATACTAAAACTAATCAAAGTGGCCGTGTGCCAGTAAAATTTTACCTGTGGGCTTTGAACTTAGAATCTCCTAAAACTTGCAAATGTCTTAAAGTATTAGGAGTCCTCTGTTGTTGTTCTTGTTTTTTGGTCAATCATTTAAAAATGAAAAAAAAAATATTAACTAAAAGTCTGTAGGAAAACAAGTGGCAGGTTTCACTTGGCCTCTGGGACTTAGACAGCATGTCCTTGTTTGCGCAATCTGTCCTTGACCTCAAGTTGATGAAGACACGAGGTTTGTTCCCATTAAAAAAGCAGATGCCTGAGATGCAAGGCAGAGCACAACTGAGGGGAAACACAGGCATTGCCAATGACGGGCTGTGCTGCGCTTCGTTTTGGGCTTTTTAAATTTATTTTTTATTTTTTATTCTTTACATTCAATCTCTGTATGTCTTTACAACATGGAAAATGAATTTTCCCAGCATGAATACCCTGTCTGTTAGTCCAGTCAAAAAGTCCAGTCAAAAGAATATGGGAGTATCCTTCATCCGACTGCCACCCACAGCACGCATGCTTTGAACATTTATGTCGTACCCCACACAGACGTACAACGATTAAATGTAAATAAGAATTGTAAAATAAAATAAAATAGAAAAGAGGGAATAAGGAAAGCACAGTCAATACTCTTATGTTAATGAAGGAGTCCTTAAAAAGTTCATGCAAAATGTGCATTATGAGAAACTATGCATGGATTTCAAGCCTCTTTGCACCAATATACATTCAGACTTGAATTCCATTTTTCCATGAACTTTTTGAGGTCCCCTCGTATCTTTTGACTCCAATAAATGATTGTGTTCACCTTTCTTATTGGGCACCCAGAAATGTCAGAGCGTTATTTGGGACCCAGAAAAAGGTAACCATATTGTCTGAGATGTGCAGAGTCCCATTTTTCTGGCCAACTGGCTTTTTGAGTCTTTAACCTTCTCTGGAGTTCAGCCAATCATTATTCATTAACAAACTGGTCTGAAGCTTCATTTCTTGGTGAGATGCCAGGGAGCCTCTTTAGTTTCAACATTTGGTTTTCAATCTCCTATTACTTACCCACAGGTTTTTTTTTTTTTTTTTTGAGTTTTTTCCTTAAGAG